GTCGTCTCGACATTTTCTCTCTTGTGTTCCTATCTGCAACCCATTGATGTCAAAAGAAATAAGAAAGTTGTTATAAGAACTCATTGTATGAAGATATCAGCGAGATAAATGACATGGTGAAGGAGAAGTCACAATAGTATCTCGTTGGCAAAAGGCTTTTATTGGATCCCAATGGGTAAGGAGAAGAATAGTTGACGATATGTGTGTATCTACACAAAAAGTTCAAATCTAATAAACTTTAACTTAGTCACCATTATCGTTAACACCTTAGCCCTAAATCCAGAACCTATGCCACCATGCCATCAATTTTGCTGTGAAAAATCTCTCTAAGTGTCAATGATGTAATGTAATTGTAATGAAGAATGAGAAAGCCATTAAGTCAAGTCCCTCTTCTTGGATGACCTCCATGTGAAGATTGAGAACGAAGAAGGGGAGCAGGCGAGAACGATGAAGAAGAAGGAAAATATTTTATTGTATTCTTGTCTACCGTATTACAAATACAAGAGATATATATAGATGACTAATACACGGAGGACATTTCTGGAATGCTGACGTGTTAGCTATCTTAATGGTGACTTAACATTCCCCCTCAAATTGATCGTTCGAGGATCGAATGGTCAATTTGGAGCGAAGTTCCAGAAATTGATTTATTGGAAGGGTTTTTGTTAGAATATCGGCAAGCTGATCCGATGAACCAATGTGAGCGATACTAATGGTACCTCTTTGTACATGGTCCCTAATAAAATGATAGTCTATTTCGATGTGTTTGGTTCGGGCATGGAAGACCGGATTATGTGCGAGAGCTATCGTTGATATGTTATCGCAGTAGATGGTGGTGGGAGTGAGCTGTGGGATTCCTAGATCAAAGGCCAATCGCCGAATCCATATGACATCTGATGTCGCAGCCGATAGAGCTCTGTACTCTGCTTCTGTTGAGGACCGGACCAGGAGATCAGATTCGGTCCTAGAAAGGAGCAAAATCCTGAGATTGACTTACGATCGGTGGGATTCGCAGCCCAATCAGCATCTGTGTAGCACCTGAGTTGTAGCGGACCGTGTCGAACTGGAAGACCGAACTCAACCATTCCTTTGATATACCGCATCAGTCGTTTGAGTACTTGATAATCGCTGTTGCGAGGATGGTGCATCTGCTGACAGATAGCGTTTGTAGTAAACGCGATGTCCGGTCTAGTGATGGATAGGTATTGAAGAGAACCAGCGATTTTGCAGAACAACTGTGGATTAGCGAAAGGGTGATTGTCTGGATTTGGTTACACACAAGGTGATGCAGGGGACGGTGATGGTTTACAATCCTCGAATCCTGCAAGGGAAAGAAGATTTTGTGCGTAGTGTGATTGAGACAAAAAATAACCGGTTTTAGTTTTGATCACATGTATTCCGAGATATAAGGATATGTCGCCGAGTTGTTTTAGACTGAACTCCAATCGGAGGCTGTGAAGAACTTCATTTAGCTTGGTCGAGTTATTTCCGGTGATGAGAATATCGTCGACGTAAATTAGGACGAACAGTTTTGTGTTGTTGTTTTGAAAACATAGAAGCGATGGATCTGCTGTGCTGAATTTGAATCCGAGCGTTTGCAAGAAGCTGGTTAGCTTGTGAAACCATTGCCGTGGGGACTGTTTTAAGCCGTAGATGGATTTCCGCAGCTGACACACATGTTTCGGGTGTTTCTTGTCCTCGAAACCTTTAGGTTGTCGCATATACACCTAGTCTTGAAGATCACCATGAAGGAACGCGTTTGACACATCCAACTGTTTTGATTGACCAGTTATGAGTTAGAGCAATTGTAATAAGCATTCGAATGGTTACCATTTTGGCGACGGGACTGAATGTCTCGGTAAAATTGACTCCGAATTCTTGCGAGCAGCCTTGTGCAACAAGGTGAGCTTTGTATTGGATGATTTGACCGTCGGGATTGAGCTTCGTTTTGAACGTCCACTTGCTGCCTAGAATGGGCTTGTCTGGTGGAGCTGGAACAAGTGTCCGGGTATTCTATTTTTGCAATGCCAGAAATTCGGAGGACATAGCTTCGCGCCAATGTGCGTGCTTTACTGCCAGATTGTAAGAAGTGGGGGTGTTCTGCGATGTGTCGGTAGCGGATAATGTGAATATTTGCTTTGGCTTTGTGATCCCTGAGCGTAGGCGTGTTTGCATCGGGTGTCGAATTGGTGCAGAGAGGGTAGAAGAATCTTGGAAACTTGTATCATATATAGGCGGACTGGCTGATTCAATGTTGGTTGTGGCTGAGGAATCAGTGGGATGAGGTATCTGCTGGATTTGATTGGAAGACGCAATGTCCATGGTAGAGCTGGTGGATGAATTCAGAGTTGAAGTAGGTACCAAAAGAAGAGGAGAATTGTTCTTAGGCGTTGCTTCCTCGGTGGATGAAGAGACAGTGGAGGTAGCAGCGTATGGAAATATATTTTTCATGGAACGTCACATGCCGCGATATGTAGAGCTTCTTGTGAGCTGTGTCGAAGCATCGATATCCTTTATGTTGAGTGGAATACCCAAGAAAAATGCATGCATGTGAGCGCGGATCTAATTTGGTACGAGCGTATGGTTTGGTCCAGGGAAAGCATAGGCACCCGAACGTTCGCAAGTGATTGTAGGATGCCGGTGTGCCATGTAGTAGAGTGTAAGGAATTTGATCGTTAATGGCAGCCGAGGGAAGTCTGTTGATAAGGTAATTTGCCGTGGACACGGCTTCGGCCCAAAATGAATGTGGAAGTTGGGAGGCGTGAAGTAGAGTTTTGGTCATTTCAAGTAGATGCCGATGTTTCCTTTCGGCCGTTCCGTTTTGTTCAGGTGTGTGCGGACAACTGATTTGATGCCTTATACCCTGTTGAGCCAAATAAGTCCGGAACTCATTGCCGAGGAACTCGCCTCCTCTGTCAGTTCGTAATGTTTGAATTCTAGTATTAAAATTAGTTCTGATTAGCGCACAGAGAATTTGAAATTTGGAAAACACTTCATCCTTAGTAGAAAAAGGATTTAACCACGAAAATTTTGTGTAATCATCTACAAAGATAACGTAGAATCTAAAACCATTTAGCGAAGTAGACGGAGCCGGTCCCCATACGTCCGAGTGGACTAGTTGGAACGGCTTATTACAATGTGAAATACTACGAATAAACGGTTGTTTGTGACTTTTCGAAACATTACACGAAATACAAACAGAATGAAAAGAAGACGACGAGATTTCAGGAAGCTGAGAGGCAAGCTTGCGGATCTTGCGGACGCTTGGATGACCTAGACGATCGTGCAAGGAAATCTTGGGTGCCTGTACCGTGTGAAGAGCAGTGGCTTTAAGGTTGGTAGGGACTTAGATGTGGTAGAGACCATTGCGAATTGGGCCCCTAAGAAGAACTTGATTGTCCTGAAGATTCTTAATGACAAATTCGTTAGCGGTAAAGGAAATTGAAATATTATTGTCAGATGTTAATCTTGATACGGATAAAAGGTTATAAGAAATCGACGGAACGTGAAGTATATTCTTTAGATTAAGCTTACTGTTAGACTCGGGTAAGGGTAAAAGTCCTTGGCCCGAGTTCTGTATCGACAAATTGCTTCCGTTAGCAATCGAAATCGTATCAAAGCCGTTGTAAGGTGTGGATTGTTGAAGATTGCCGTTGTCAGAGGTTAGATGGGATGATGCTCCCGAGTCCAGAATCCAGTCGTTGGTTGCGGTTTGTTGTTGTTGAGCAGTAAGAGCCCGTTAATTCGACGGAGGGGCATAAGTTAAATTGCATCTATGCCAGCAATTCAGTGTTGAGTGACCCGCCTTTCCGCATATCTGACATTGAAGGCGCTGGTTCGAACTTCTTGCAGACGTTTGAACATCGGAAGACGAGGTTCGATCCGCGGGAGATTGACGAAAATTGTTTTTCTCGCGGAACTTGTTCTGTTTGCCGCGGTAATTGGTGGAACGGTTTGTGAAAAGCGCCGTGGAGTCTGATGCACGGCTTTCTTGTAGTTGTTGGTGTTGTATATTGATCTCTTCGCTAATTAGCAGAGAATAGAGATCGTCAAGCTGGATCGGCTGAAGCGATGTCCTGATAGCCGTCTTGAACGGATTGTAGACGGCGGGCAGTCCGTTGAGAATATATAGAACGATATCCTCAGTGTTGACGGGCGAGCCTGCAGCAGCTATGTTGTCCACGATTTTCTTTATTTGATCAAGATACTGAGATATGGTCCGATCCTGCAGCTGTATTTGGTGTAGCTCATTCTTGAGCTGAATGACCCTCGACCGATTCGTGGGCTGGAGTCTGCGCTCGAGGGTTGTCGAAACATCGTGAGCAGTGCGGAGCGTAATGACATATGGCAAAATAGCGGGTGAGATAGTGGATAGCAGAGCCGACACTAGATTGCGGTCGATGAGCGTCCAGCGATTTCGATCAGTTTCTTCGGAGTCTGGTGGACAAGAAACCTGTCCAGTGAGGTGTTCGCCATACCCGTTTGCGGAGAAATGCTGGAGAAGTTGAAGCCTCCAGATCGAGTAGTTTTCAGTTGTGAGGGAGGTAGGAACGAGATTCTTGATATTGGATATCAAGAATTTGAGATGGGGAGGAATTAAAAGCTCTGTATCGCGATTGACGGTTGCAGAGGAGGTCCGGCGAGATCCGGCGGAGTCTTCTTCTGCCATGGACAGAGGCGCGGTAGAGCTTTAAAGCTCTGATACCATGTGAAGATTGAGAACGAAGAAGGGGAGCAGGCAAGAACGATGAAGAAGAAGGAAAATGTTTTATTGTATTCTTATCTACCGTATTACAAATACAAGAGATATATATAGAGGCAAGAACGTATTACTAAGACGTTTTATTCCCTTACTCTACTATCACATATATTCTCGGACGTAACAATATCATATGTAACATTAATATCAGTATAAATTTAACGAAGATGAAGTTCATTCTTACACAATTTATGCAAGAATATTCTGATGTAATAGTTTTTTAATAGGAATTCATTACTACCAAATTGGCGAGTTCTCTGAGCTGGCGGGATTCCCCGAAGGCCTTGAGGAAGGAGGCTACATTCTTTTTCGGGTCAGGCCGCGACAGGCAAGGATCATTGGCTTGTGTGGGTTAGTGAAGAATCTCATTATCTGCAGCACAAGACATTTAATTACTAATCATATAAGCCAGTAAATACTTAAGAACAAGTATCTTGAATGAAACTTGCAGGCTTCTAACCTCGGACCAAATCTGCGGAAAATCTCTTTTACTATGGCTCCCATCAGATCCCAACAGCGCCGAGAGGTCGCCGTCGCCATCGTTCACCCCTGGCGCCTTCACGTTGCTGAAATCCATACCTGGAGGTATTACCTATAGGCCATAAAGTTTCGAACTCGTCAGGCAGAACTAATCAAATTTTGAAAACAAGAGATAAGCATAAATATATTTATGTATATGTACCGCCATGGATGGCATGTAGCGGCCGAGACATCCGACGCCTCTCCGCCTCCTCGCCCTAAGCTTCCTCTCAATCCGGAGATTAAACCCATCGTACATACCCCACTGCTCCTCCACCTCCTGCCACGTGCTCGCCACCACCATCTCCGCCGCATCGAGCCCCCTCTCCTCCCCCTCTATCCGCCGAGAGATTCGGTAAGCTGCCTCCGCCTCGGCTCGACCAGCACGCCCGGCCCGCAGCAGCTGCTCGAGCTTGTTCCGGCCTAGCGAGTGCCCAGTGACCACCGTAGGGACGCCCAGCGCCTCCGCGATACGCGTTGCAACCTCCGCTCCATCAGCGTAGTGTCCGTGCACAACGTACGGCAACAGCGGGAATTCGTCGCCGGCGGCGGCGAGGGAGCGGGCGACTTCGGCGATGTGGCCCAGAGCGCGGTCGGCGAATTCGGGGAGGTGGGGCCAGAGGGATTCTTTGGGAAGGTAGAGGTGGCGAGGTCCGCAGGGAAGGCGGATTATGTAGGCGCTGCAGTGATCTGAGTCGGAGTATAGAGGATCGAGGTCGGCGAGGCAGGAGAGCATCTCAACGGGCTCGGCGTAGGTGGAGTCCACCTCCGGCGAGCAAATCTGGCGGGTGAGTAGGTCCACACGGCTGACGCCATTGGTGGAAGCCAGAGCTCGTGCCAACTCCACCACATACTTCACCTGGTCATTTTATCAAGATAGATCTAATAAGCAATATCAATGCTAGATTCATTTAAGCGAAATGTAGTTTTTTAAAGAGAAAATTTTTCTTTTTAAAAAAATCGAATCTAAAAAAATTATAAAGAATGGAGTAATTCTATACCACCAGCACAGGTAAATTTGGGACTATACTTCAGTTTTGTTTTCCTATTAATTATGTTTTGATTCTGATTTTTAGTTTGTTTTCTTCTTTAGAGTTCAGAATTCGTAAAAAAAGCGTTCTTGTTATTAAGGGCTCAATCATAGATAGTTTTATCATATCAACAAGAGAAGACCGTTAAAATTTGAAATCTCACCTGGCCTCCTGTATCGGAGTCCCTTCCAAGTTCCATGTTCTCCCCGCGCACCAAACCGTGCAAACTAAGCAAATCAACAAAGACATAAGCTTTCATTATCACGATTCAACCCCTGATCAATCGCCATAACATATATCAACCTTTCAACAAAGGAAGAAAGAAGCAGAGAGAAGCCCGTCGAGAACCTAATGAGTACGATGTACAATCGATTGGGCTTGCGGCTTTCATCTCCTTCCTCTGGTGACCAAATCCTAGACTCGGAGTGCAGTTTTGACATCGTCGGAGACTCGACCGCCGAGCTCGAACCCTTCTCCTTCTCCCCTTCAGATAACTCGGAAGATAGATCCTCAGCTGCATCCCTGCTCCTCTTCACCAGCTCCAATCTCATCCGCGCCTCGTCCCACTCCATCTATTTCCCCAAATCATCAGAAAACTTTAAAACACAGAGACGAAGAAATAATCGAACACCTGTTTCTTCTTCCGAGCAAGATGCCAAATTCTCCAGCACATGTTCTCCATCCTAGTGCTCCGTTCCTGGCTGTTGCGCTTCGCCACAACCTGAAAAGCAAAAGGCAAAAATTTTAAGTGATTGATTACAGTTCAGAAAGGAATTAAAATTAGATTTTTGACTGGTTGATCTTTTTAGGGATTGGGTAATGGAGTCAAAGCACCTTGATCCAGGTCTTATGAAGGTCAGCATCGTCGAAGCGGCTGACGACCTCCTCGACGAAGTAGCGGGCGGGGCTGAACCGGGGAGCCGGAGAGCCTTCGCCGGAGGCCAATTCCACGGCGTCGGGAGATGAGAGAGAAAAAGAGTTGAAGGAGGAGGAAGAGGACTGGTGGGGTTTTGGTTTAGAGGCGGCACCCGCGTCCAAGATGGCTTCCAAGTAGCCGTTGATCCACTCATTTCCCGCCATTTTTCTCCCTACTTCTTCCCCAACGACTACTGCGTTTATATAGAGGGATTGGAACTCTGGAAAGTTCATATCGAACGGCTGTGATGCAGGGAATTTATGACGTGGCGGAACAAAAATGGGCATCAAATACGTTCTACCTGTGCTGGATGGCTTCCGCTGAGGCAAGGACCGGATGCTCATTCAAAAAAAACTTGTCCTTGACCAAAATCCGTAATTTTCTTTCGTTTATTCGATTTCATGGCATATGCTGTGTTCTGATATAAAGAATATTCCTACTAAACTAAGTATAAATGTTATTAGGAGGGTTCCATTTTTTGAGATTTCATGACCACGTACCTTTTGTACTTAGTAGACCAGGTTTCTGTTTCTCGAAACATAAATTGATCAAGATGCATTTGATAATAATACATATATTACTTAATATTATGCTATGAATGCAAGAAAAAGATGGTTGTTGTGTGCCAAAATACTTGCAACATGAGAGAGGAGAAATTATTACATACAGGGTCCGTATGCAATTTTTCTTCTCGACTCCAATCACTTGGAGACATGTATTTTCTCTCTTTCGTACACACCTTGTGTGCACGAAAGTAAAAAAAAAAGTCCACCCGTCTTCATGTGATTGGAGTCTGGACACCACGCGTAATAATTTTTCAAGAGATAGAGAGTTTGAGGTCTTTGCTTTGCTCGAAGGTTTAGCACACATAGATAAAAGATGAGTTGTAAGATACAATATGATTTTTACGTTAAAAAAATCAAAATGAGAAAATCATGGGGCTCAGCCCAACTGAAATGTTTCAATTAGTATTTATCATCGGTTTAAAATGTTGCATTTTCTCATATTTGTCAAAGATGTTGAACAATGTAATAAACATAAGCTATATAGAATGAATTAAGTGGTGGAAGTTGAAAGAGATATTTTCAAAGATCATTTGATGTTTATTTGGCACTGTTCTGCTTTGAGAAGGGGAGATAAAAAATGAAGACGTTCATAATAATATTGATGCTGATGTCGGTAGTTAGAGTTTATGTTAATGATATGCATCGACTTTATGCCAATTGTGTGCAAAGGTGGCAATGATATGTAATGAAGTCACTAAGCGTCTGTGTATCAAAGTGACAATGGTCGGAGGTTTGAACTCAGGTGGCGGTGGTCAAAGGAATATAGTATGAAGATGATGGTTAGAAGATCATATCAAGATTATTGTGGTTAACGGATCATAATCAGACAATGGCAGCCCAAAGATCGTAGTAGAGTAATAGTGGTCAGGAGACCGTATGTAACACCTATTGACTCATAATATAGTTGCACCTGTTCTAACCAGATTTGAAAAAGTAAATCTACTGAATTTTTCCATTTGAACTCATGTACATATGTTTGAGAATATTTTGTATGTATGTGTTTTGAAGTTGATCCCGGGGGACCATGTGCATATTTGTGAAATAAAAAAATTTTCCCCTAAGATGTCGTGCACTTGGGTAGGCGATATTGCGACACTAAGCTCTATGAAATTTAAAAAAATTAATTAATGCTACAGTGATGAGGGTGGCGCTTGTTGACCCCATGTTTATAAGAGGTCATCAGGACTTTTCACTCCTAATTAAACTTCTTATGGTTGACAACCAAGCACCTATCAATCATCTGACCTCAATCAACCTGTCAATCATTCAACCATCTTCAATTACCAATCATATAGCCTGTATATATCCAGTCAAGCATCAATCAACCATGCATCTATATGCAATTACAGTTCTGTACTATTATCAATTGATCTAGTGTACTACTTTGTATTATACACTGACCCTCTAATTTCAATCAATGTCTAAACTATTTCATTAGGAACTTTAAATATCAAATCATGTATCATAAGCCCTTTGAATCAATCATTGATCAAGATGATCAATTGAGCTAGCTCAGGCTAGCTCAGTTGATCATCAAGCATCAATTACTCTAAATCCATCATCAAATGACATCTAAACGTCAGCAAACCTCCTCAAACTCATTTCATAATAAAATGGATGTGATTGACCATCTTGATCCAATAAGTAGTTAACTTGGTCAACCATACCCATGTATGGTCAAATTATTACGTACATGATGCAATTTTTTCTTTGAACTCCAATCACTTGAAGACACATGTATTTTCTCTCTTATACACACCATATGTACACGAGAGTGAAAAAAGGTCCACCTGTATTCGTGTGAATAAAGCCTGGACGGTATCCGGACTCCGCACGTAATAATTTTTAAGAGATAAAGAGTTTAAGGTATTTGCTTTCCTCAAAGGTTAGCACACATAGATAAAAGAAACATTGTAAGATACAAGATATTTTTTTATGCAAAAAAAGAAAAAAAAATCAAAAAGTGAAAATCATGGGGCTTAACCCAATCGAAATAATTCAACTAATATTTATCATCGGCTTCAAATGTTGCATTTTCTCGTATTTGGCAAAGATGTTGATATAGTATAACAGACATAAGCTATATATAATGAATTAAGTGGTGGAAGTTGAAAGAGCTCTCTTCAAAGACCATTTGTTGTTTGTTTGGCATTGTTCTCCTTTGAGAAGGGGAGATCAAAAATGAAGATGTCCATAATTAAAATTTGTTTTAATCAATTAAATTTGATGATTAATTTAGGATAAATGAATTTAGACCTTTATTCCTAATGTTTGATTCCATTTTGGAGAGCATTTGGCATTTCATTTGTAATGTCTTTAATACATTTAAATTACAAAAAGATCTTCATATGTATTGTGTATGATTCCTTTTAGGAGGGCACTAACACATTAAATTTGGGGATCTTCCAACCATTAATAAATACATCGACCTTATGCAACATATTTGATTCCATCTAGAGGATATGTTGTATTTAATTTTTAAGGTCACATTTTTCTCTCTCTCTAATGAACTTTGGAGGCTCTCATATTGTCACACATCCTACATAGAGGTTGAGTGTTCATTTTGGAAACCTTAGGACTTATAAATTTATAACTCCTTACACTTTGGGAGTTATCAATCTATAAGTTCTTTAAAACTAAATTCATAACTTTAACATTTAAAATTGGAATAATTTAAAAGCCAAATACACATCACTTAAACTTTCATTAAAATCCCTTTCAGTCTTTAATGATAACTTAAAAATGCATACAATTTAAATAAGAAATTTCTATAGTACCTATCAAAGCCACATAATATTTTTCACACACTTAAATGATTTGCTAGGACAACCAAATTTAGCCTAGGCTAGGCTTGTGGATTGTTGTGGTTTGATTGCGATTGTCTTTACTTAGAGGGAACTTATGTGTGATTGCTTATTTTCTGCAAATTATGATATGTCGTGTATTTTACTTTCTTTACTTTCCTATACGTATAACTATTCACAATACAATCATAATTGCATATTTATTTCATATTCTTTATATTTCTACAAAGTAGAATGTTATTAGGTGAAGATGTACATGCAAAAAGATTTATAAACTTAAATTTCATAAAATTTTATATATAGAACGAGTTGTACTGTGTCCTGAGATGTAAGAGAATTAAAGACAACTGGTTATACATATACAGGTGGGGCTTCAAAAAGTAATTTACTCTGTTAAAGAGGATATTCATTTTTGGAACTTCATAGAAGACTTGGAGCCTGAAGACCATTAAGCTGTCATATTTGATACTAAATGTTCATTGTAGGATTAGAATCCAAGTTTATTATCGGTGGGGCCTACCTACCATTACTTTATTATAGATCCCGGGTAATACTTTGTAAATTTTATATCAATAAAATCAGCTTATTTATATGCATTAATGTTTATGCATCATAAACATACGTGTAGATTTTTATTTTTATTTTGTAAGCATATTATCCTACATTTGATTTAATTTCTTTAAAAACTCCTTGACTCCTAAGATAGATCCCTCTTAATCTTGTATTCATCGACGATTATTGTGATTAGGATTATTAGCTGGCAGCTCATTCTAGGTAAATGGTAAGTCTAGATTGTATACACCCTTCACTACATACTTTTTATTCAAATCTAATAAAAATTTCCAAATCAAATTTAGTGTTCTAATTTATAATCTAAAGCTTGTATTTTGAAATTTAACTAGCCTAAATATGTATTTTAAAATTATTTAGTCTTCATTTTAATCAAGAGTATTCTCTTAGGAGATCTAATTAATCATAAGAGCTTACCCCTGTAGGGAGTCTTGTTCCTAGAATAAAATAAACCTTATCTTTGATTAATTTCTAAGGTAGGGGAAAAATATGTGAACATAGACATTGCTTTATGAATATTTTAAATTTAATTTCGTAGTCAAAGGATATAAAGATATTTAATTTATTTAATTTGCTTTTACCGTGAATTGAATATCCTCTATATTTAATTATGAAAATAAATCTGATTTATTTCTCTAATTAGAATGATAGAATAATATGATTTTTATTCTTCGGGATGAATTGTATATTTTCTATGCTGCATCCGATTAAAGAAATATATATTATAGCTTTCTTTCTTTCAAATCGATATGAGGACATTAATTTATCTTTTAGGGTGGTATAATATCTAACCATATAGATTTAATAAAAAAAAAATCTTAGAAATATAAATAAAGCAAATCGTGTGGGAATTAAACTATTTTGAAGTATAAAAAAAGTTCTCACAGTGCTAGAGTGCTCTGGGCTCCTAGGGTAGACCTCTGCAGCGCGCATGAATTGGCATTGTAGTGCTCGACCAATTTTAATATTAAAAATATATTGTTTCCAATATTCAAATTCATTTCACCCAACCATAATAGCCACTTAGAGAGAGAGAGAGAGAGAGAGAGAGAGAGAGAGAGAGAGAGAGAGAGAGATTTTTAGAGATAGAAATATAATTTTGAGTCACTTTATGTCATTTTATGCTGACATCCAAATTTTTAAAGTTGTCCGGCTTGAGGTAGGTTGCATTTTGCCTATCTTAGTCTTTAATAATTCAATAATTTCTAAATTTTGCTTATTTAAAATATAAATTTATTGTGTTCAAATTGAGATAACTTTTAAACGAGGAACTTTTACTATGTAATTTTTGGCATGTTGTAGATAATATAGTTATAAACATTATATATCATCAAAAATTTATCTTAATTGTGCACAAATCACAATACAAATATGAGTAAGAGGCTTCAAAAATGAGGACAGACCATTCAAACTCTAACT